GCAAAACTGGAACATTATTCTTGCGCATTTTCGAACTTGCCATTGCCCCACGTGCCTCTGAATATTGTTATCCTTGGGTAAAAGTATTAAACAAAAGCTTCAATTCTGCATGTCTGAGGGTCCTTCTTTTCTTAATATTAATCATGTAAAAACTTTTATTTGATGTAATATACATATCTACACAAAAAAGATGGAGTGAAAAGAGGAGGGGCTTAAGTCCTGTTGCAGGCTGTTTGGGCATCTGGAGGCAATAATTTAAATGTAATGTAAATAATTTATGGTAATTTAATCTGAAATTCTAGGACATTTACTTAGAGTTGATTGGTGATAATAGTTTACATTTTCTATGCTCCTAATATTCTTTCGATGTCTTGGAATTTGACCTGTACCATAAGCAAATTAAGGCATTTAAGAAAAAACATGAATTTGTTTTCTTCTATCATTTCTATGGCTACATTTAGATGGCCCAACTTAGTGGAAATATGGATGAGCTCTCTGGCATCTGTTGAGCTTAGGCACTTATGACTATTCTCCACATAAATGGTGGACCGTGGAGGATAACTGATTCTCTGGCCCCAATGCCCCAGTATGTATATTTGCTGCTGTCAGGTCCTTTGAGGATGGGCTGAATCCATAAAACAGCTTTCATTTTGATACTATGAGTAGATAAATCGTTCATGTGACTGTTCAGTGCAACACCTTTACACCATATAGGGAAAGGGGCTATGAGTCTTTTTTAATGTCTTTAAGATCCAGGAGCTTAGTTCCTCTTCCCGCAGATGGAGCAAGGAAGAATATGAATCCCTGAATGATGAGTTTTGTGAATGCATCATTAAAAATTATCTTGTTTCCAGAGTCCTGGGTTGCCTTATAAAATAGTACAACAGCATGGCATCAGTTATCTATTAATGCAGTTTCCTCTTTCTAACAATATCCTGTGGAAATTATACTGGTAAATTCCTTAAATTTTGCAATGAGAAATTATTATTTTATGAGTGCTTACATACAAGCAAAGAGTATTGTGGCTTGCTCCATTGGCAGAATCACCACTGTAATGATACCTTAGTCCACAAGTTATATAATTGCTGAGCAATCTTCTCTGTACAATATGCTCCTAATTATCTAGGTTCAATAGAGAATACATGCTGACTCCCAAGGACTTGTTGAAGCAAATATCTAGACTATGACTAATTAGAGGGCTCTGTAATACTCTCAATATTAGAATATCATATTAGACTCAACTCTACAGGGTATAAATTTGTCATGTGGTTCTTCTGTTAAGTGACATTTGCAGATAGAGGCATGTATTATAATGCTTATTAAGGAAAGCATTTGGAGTCAGCTCAATTTTGTTTCAAATCTTGTCTGCCACAGATCAGCTAAATGACCTTGGGCAAGTTAATTAACCCCTCTGGGCCTCAGTAAAATGGGGAATAATAATACTACTCAATTAATAGAAACTGTTATGGAGATCACATAAATTCATCAATTCATATATATAAAGAGCCTAATACAGTGCCTAGCATGTTGTATATACTCAATAAAAGGCTATTATTTTTATTGCTTTACTATCAGATTTATTGGCTCAAAATCTTTCATCTTTCTGCACATCTTGACAATTTGACAGTGATGTTTCTTTATTGTAATAAAACAGATAATGGCTATCATACACTTCTTTGAGAGGGCAGAGGCAACTAATTTCCATCCAGTGTTCTACTGCTTTCTCTTTCCAAGTATGTAAAAGCAGTTTCTGCTTGACAGTGAACACTGACATAATGAGTTCTATGGTGACTGGACTGGTGTTTTTCACTACTAAACGTTGTTTTGACAATATCAACTGCAGGGCTAATTGCGCTCTACCCCTTTAACTGGAGGAGAAAATATTTGATCAAGACTACCTTGAATCTTGAAGGGTAGTTAAGTTTGCTAGATGAGATGTTGTTCTAAATGCTCTGTCTGGTAAAAATATTCCGTCATATTTGGCTTAATCCTGATTCCTCCATAAAGCCCCAGTTAACTTTTGGGCTGCCTTAAGTGTTTTTCTGCAATAATCTCACACTACCCCAGAACTTAGATCAGAACGTCTGCCAGACCGAACAATACAGTTCCCTTTTGCCTCAGCTGCGGCTCTCAGCTTTTTGAGATGACTGTTTCAGTCTTTCCCTGTCTGGCTGTAATCATTTTGGATGCTGTCTCACACTGGTCCTTGACATTTCCCTGAAACTAATTTCCATCAACAATAATGAAGAGAACGGAACAAATGTATTAATTAACTTCAGTACAGAAAGTCCTCAGTACCTCTAAGACATTCAGACGTTCTTGGATACTTTTTTGAGCAGCAAAACATTCAAAGATCCATGAGCAGTAAGGAAAATAATATAGTGTATTTCTGAGAATATTCCTAATCAATGACTTATTTATTTGAAGAGAGTATGTATCATATTAAAGTTTAAACTTTTGCATGAGTAGACTCCTTACAAGTCTACCTCAGACTCAGGCAGTATTTGTTGAATTTAAACATCTGTTTAACTTGGCTCCTCTTACTTCCAGCTGTAAATCAGTCATTTCATGAAAAACCAATTTGTTTCTCTACATTTTCATTTTCTTAGTGTTTAATATTTTTGGGTAGGTTCACGCACTAGGTTTTACTCTAAATTTTATGCAACACTTTCAGAATAGGGCACTAGGGCTAAAAAAAAACCACACAACTGAATTTCTAACAGATTAATCCCTTTCCTTGTGAGTGGACTAAATTCTTACATAAATTGTCAGTCAGTGTCTTTAGATCCTCTGAACAGTTAACCAAAGTGTACCCATATGTTTGGCATGCCACCAAAACTGGTCAATAAATGAAAGGCAGTATTGAGATTCTTCTGTAGATTTGGAACTCCTAGTTGCTCCCACCTATTTTATAATAATAGAGATTTACTTTTCAGATTATGAATGATTTTAGAGTGTAATCAGCCAAAGAAAAGTGCTTTTGAGGAGAAATCTTTCAATGGAAACATTATACAATTCAAGTGCTTTATCTGTTACATTTAACCAAAAGAGCAAATTATAAGATCATAGACATAGTTCAGTCTCACTAGAGTCATCAGAATCTTACAAATAAGAAATTAAATGAATAGCTATAAAGTGTTCATATTCATCATAGTGGAAGAATTGCAGGCAATGATTTGAAAGCCTCAGATCTAGTCTCTTTCAGTTGCAAAGAGCAGAAATGCAACAGTATTCTGACATTTTGACTATTTAACAATCTATTCATCCTTAATTTAAAAATATTTTTTACCCTGTACCTTCCAAAAATATAGTGAAAAGATTTATATGCTGGTGAGAAAGAACAGAAAAATATGTCTTGAATTTCAACTATCTTAAGTATCATAAGGTTATTAACTTTTCATTGAAAGAATTTATGAAAGAGATGTAAAATGAAAGACAAAAATAGGAGTCAAGATAAATAAGACATAATGATTTGAGGTTTTAAAAAAATGCTATCATGTTTCTGATAATTTTGAACTTTTATGCTTAAGATATATTAAAATTTATTAAAATTAAGCAGTTGGTCTAAGCCATGAATATTTTAATTGTAATAAATCAATGGTATCCTCAACATCATTTCAAAATGGAAATATAGTAGTTACTTAGGAACAGATGTTTCCAACTGGCATTCCCCTAATTATAAGATTGCCCCATATATATTCCTTTTATATGAGTAGCTGCTCCAGCCTGTTGACCAAAGGAGCTCTCATCCATGGTCACTGGAGATTTTCCTCTGGTCTCTTCCTTCCTAATGTATATAATCGTGTGAACAATTCTTCCTTTTGGACCATCCTCTTCTCCTGACCTTCTCCAAAAAGGAAAGGAAGAAGGGTAGGAAGAGTGTAAGAAACAAGATCACTGGGAACAAGAGGAGGAAAATGTGGTGTTAAAGGCTCTGTTTCAGGCTACAGAAAGCTCCAGAGTAACAGCATCTTGGTTTTTCAGAAGTAGGTCTCATAATCAGAAATTAATCTGTAGGTTTTTATAATTGTGATGAGTTGAGAGGGTGTGGACTAGCTTGTGACTCAAAGGTAAGTACAGAGCGTGTGGAGGTTTTATTCATATTTAATTTTTGTCTTTCTTCATCATCCTAAAGTTTTATGGGGTCACTTAATGCAATTTGATGAGGTCAAAAGTAGATAGCTTCAATTATCATTGAATAATTACTAATTGATTCAAAGCTGAGAGTATTAAACACTGATGGTAGCAGGGTAGGTTCTATAGCTCCAGGTAAACATTTAAAAAATAAAAAATCAGATGGTTCACATCAGCATCAGGCAGGTCACATGTGAGCAAGGGCAACATCTTGAATGTCCAGGAAATGGCTGAGGTTAGAGTTGGCGTGCCTTAATTCCACAGTTTGACAAGCAGGGGTAAGTATGAGAGGAGGACCTAATTCTTCTGCTAATGTTAACTGATTTTCTAATAGAAAATTTGTTTTCTGTGGCTTCTCAATTCTACAGTTCTATTAGCAAAATTCTTTATATGCTTGATAAATTGAAGAGATGGCAGTCAGCTTGCCTTTGCATTGAATTACTACATAGTCATTAGTATTCTGTCAATATCATTCTGCTATTGTGAGAAAACAGTTTCCTAAATAAGTGACTTACAAGTTAACCTTTGGAAACAACTTGTAAGAAACTGCCTATATACCTTTCATTACAAATATAGACAACTGTGAAGCCAAAAATAAAAACAAAACACAAAGCCTTCCTACAAAAATACAAAAAAACCTCTGCCTTTTAAGTAGAATGTTTAGAGACTTTTCCCTTTATTCTTAGTATGTGTCAAGTGCTGCAGTAAATTCTTTTATCCCTGTGCTGAAAAAGTTTCTAATTGGCTTCAGAGTTAGCTAGCTCATGAAAACACAGCAAAAACCCTTGAACTTTTTTCTAACCTTTGTTGCTGTAGTAGATAGTATTTTTCTAATTAAAATTGTCAACAAGATATTCATTTCTTACCTTGTCAGAAGGTTTGAATGGATTTCCTTGTCCACTAATTCCACCACTGATACTAAATCCAAGGCCAGGATTCTTTTCTATTCTCACACAAAACTGTGTAAAAAAGATATAAAAAGGTAAGTAAATAGCTATCAAAACTAAATATTTTCAAATAACTGTATTTCAGTAGAAAATATTCACATTTCACGTGATTTCTTAGGGTTAGCCTATGTTGACTTGATACACAAAAGGCAATATAAACTTTGACAAAAGGTTTAATGCTTCTATATGCATCAGTTATGATGGAAACTAGCTTGAAATTACCTGGGCAAGAATATATTGGCAAGTACTTATTTGTTACCATGTACAGGACTAACTTTTGATTAGCCATTTTTAAAAATTAAAAGTCTTATAAACACTTAAAATACTATGCATTATCTTAGCTATAGACCATAAATGCACATGTATTCAGGTTGATTAGAAAGACTGTCTGAATAAGTGAAGCAAAATTTTAAAATGTAGAGTGAGAGAAAATACGGCTATTTAAATAAATTGTGCCTGCTTTGTAGTGGAGTAGAATAATTCATCTCCTTGTTAGATAATTCTTTGTTTAGGAATATTAAATCTTTTAGTTTGAGAAAGTAGCTACAGCTTGTGTGAGGGTGAAGAAAAGGAAAAATGAAATGCTTATTGGAGAGCTTCAAGTCTAGCAGCAGCTCCTGGAGTAGGAGTTAGGAACCTTAGAAGAAAGAGGAGAACAGTGTGATGAGGTCAGGTTAAAGAAAGAGGTCAACAATATGGAGACATTGCTAGGGAAAGAGAATGGCCAATACGCAACACAAGGGCAAACGTTCTAATGTTCTGTGTTATATTCCCTTCCCAACATCACAAATCATCAATAAAAGTCTATTAAACATGAAAGTCTTTTGCTTTATAGTAGTATGGGGGAATGACGGCATTAGGAGTAGGGTCTGCCTTGGGATAAGGCTGTAGTAAAAATGATAGCAATAATAGAAGTTAATAAAAAGAGTGTAGATTAAGAACTCAGCAGAAATGACATCAGTGCCAGGGATGACCTAGAGAAACTCTAACAAACCTAAGAATTCCTGGAGACCCTGAGCAGGAGATGTGTGTGTGGGCTATGGTAAAAATGTTGGTTCTCCAGGTAAGGTGGGATAGAGTGATCCCAGATAATTGAAAGATTTTGGACCAAGAGGCAGTATACATTGGTTACATAAAGAAAAAACACTTTGTAACTTTATTATGTATTATTTATTTATTTATTTTAGTGACAAGGTCTTACTCTGTCACCCAGGCTGTAGTGCAGTGTTGCAATCAGTTCACTGCAGCCTTGAACTCCTGGGCTCAAAGGATCCTCCTGCCTCAGCCTCCCAGCTAGCTGAGACTTACAGGTGTATGCCACCATGCCTGAATAATTTTAGTTTGTCTCTTTTTCTAGAAATAGAGTCTTGCTGTGTTGCCCAGGCTAGTCTCGAACTCCTGTCCTCAAGTGATTCTCCCACCTTGGCCTCCCAAAGCACTGGGATCACAGGTGTGAGCCACGGTGCCCAGCTCTTTTACAACTTTTAAGTACAGAGTAAGTATTAGGTGAACCAAGTGTTACCAAAGGTTAGCAGGCAAAAGATTAATAAAGAGTTAAGAAAAAAAATAAGATGACATACTTTGGCATATATTTTGTATTTACGTAACTACATACTGGAAAAGTTCTTAAACGTGATTGTAAACATTTGCTTCTTAAGTAGCACATTTTTACCACCAGCATTCTTGCTTAGCCTATTAATTTGCTTATGGCAAATGTAAATGCCCAAAATACTCTTTACATTTTGATTGTGAATCTATCTTCAATCCCTACCTCTTAGTTCAAGGCAAACTGAGTCCTATTTCTGACTTAATTAGCACATACTGTCACTGGAACCTGGATCAATTAGGTTTGTCTGTTTAATAATCCTATACTTAATTCATTGTCATATTTCATAATAGTAAATATAATGTTTAACTATTAGATAGTTCACTTGCAATACAAGATGGAAAACCTGGATGAAAACCTATGCACTAATGTGATCTTTATGTAGTCATTAATGAATAGTTTCTAAATTGTGAGTAAAACTATAAGTACTGTCCCTTATTTTAAAGATGTTTAGTTATAACTTTTCCTTCAATTCAGCTAGATTTGTTAAAACTAGTTATCATAGGTACTAGAATTTACAGTTTATAATACTTTGTATTTTTATATTGATCATAGTTTATGAATAGTTTATGAATATAAACTTACAATAGCCTGATGTAGCTGAAAGAAATATTTTAGCTTTATTCAGTATGCTAGTTGATCTCTTTGTTATTATTTATTAATTAGAAAATGAGAAGAAAGCAACCAATATGATGAAATCATTTTTCTTTTGTGTTTTTCCACGTTTTTATGCATTTCCAATTACATTATTTAAAATTGAGGTTGTATCTTTCTAGTGTGAATATTTCATATTGCCACAAAATAATATGTAGAAGGTATATGCACTTCTGGCTTTCTCCAGGCCACTATAAAACTCAAAGGAAACAAATATAACAGGTTTAATTTACAAAGTAAATTGTTGAGAGTAGTTTCCAGTTGTTCTCTTTCAAGGCAGTGACTATATCTATTTTATATTATTGTAAATCTTGAAGGCACTAAAAATCTAAGAGAGACAAATTTCACATGTGCCAAGTATATGAAGAACTGCCTTAATATATTTTTTAATAATAGAAATAATAAAGATGACAGTGGAGTTTTATAAATGTGACAAACATAAATTCTGATCTGAAGCTAGACTGCTCTTGGGCATGCTAAGATATGGCTAATACGTTGTATTGTGACTAGTGGGTCTCATAAAGCATGTCAGAGAGAGTATTCCTCTCACATATAAGTAGTTGCACCTGCCTGCTAAGGCCCAAAGAAGCCATAAAATGTAAGCGGACAGAATACCTTACATTCAAGAAACAGTCTGAAACTAAAGAGGATCAGCAAAGAGGAAATGCAGTGTTCTAGTAAAAGATTAGGTCTAGGAAGCTAATAAATAGTTTATTTAATGAGAACCAGTATTTTTATTTTCTTTTTATTTTTTTATTTTTTTGAGATAGGGTCTTGCTGTTTCTCAGGTTGGAGTGCAGTGGCATAATTTTGGCTCACTGCAGCCTCTGCCTCCCACGTTCAAGTGATCCTCACATCTCAGTCTTTGGAGCAGCTGGGACTACAGTCACGTGTCACCATGCTTGGCTAATTTTAAAATTTTCTTTGTAGAGATGAGGTCTTGAACTCCTGTGCTCAAGTAATTCTCCCACCTCAGCCTTCCAAAGCGCTTGGATTATAGTCGTGAGCCACCATGCCAGCCTCAGTTTTCTTTTAAGAGACTGGTTTTAAAGAATGAATGTTTTGGCTGAAAACACATCCAGTAGTAGTGCAATCAATGGTATTTCAGAGTCTGCTTCCGTAATTCTACTTTACTTGATACTTCCAGTTTGTGTTAATCTTACTCTAATTACGATACTGGGTCTTATTTTGGAAGGGCTTTTTTGATAAAATGGATTGTTACAAAAATTAGCTTGGCATGGTGGTGCACACCTGTAGTCCTAGATACTCAGGAGGCTGAGGCAGGAGGATCACTTGAGACCAGGAGTTTGATGCTGCAGTGAGCTATGATTGTGCCACTGCATTCCAGCCTGGGTGAGCCCTCTCACTAAAATAAATAAGTAAATAAATAAATAAATAAATAAATAAGTAAATAAATAAAGAATAAAGGCTAAAATTCTCCCTGCCTTTCTCAATAAAAAGGATATGATGACTCCTTGTTAAAATACATGATGAGTTTTAGAAAGAAAGAATGTCAGTTATTCAAAGAGTGCCTCAATTGTCAATGACTTTGAAATAAACTACTCTGGAAAACTGTCATAGCTTTGACAATAAAAACTGTTGCAGAAATAATGATGTATGACTTCCACATAATATTTATTCCACATAATATTTATAAATATTCCACAAATATTTATTGATTCCCTACTAAGTACCAGGCAGATAAAAACATCCTTGACCTCAAAGAACTAACATTCTAATGAGGAAGATAGGTAGCAAACATAAACAACAAATAAGTAATTTCAGATAGCGGGATGAGCTGTGGAAAACAGCAGGAAAGGTAGTAGAGAGTAAGTGAAATGGAGTCAGGAGTTGTTCTACTTATTTATTTATTTTAAGCTTATTCTTGCCTCAGGAAAGAGCTATTTTCGATACAGTAGGTAAAAAAGCCCTCTCTGAGTATGTCACATTTGAGCAGAAATGTGAATGATGTCAAAGATCAAACAATGAACAAGAAGAAAAATGAAACACTATCCCAAGCAAAGGGGATAGCAATTGTAAATGCCCTGAAGATGGATTGGTCTTTACAAAGTCAAGAAACAACAAGATGACATAAGGATGAACATATAGATCAATTTAATAGAATAGAGAGTCCAGAAATAAATCCTAACATTTATAGTCAGATGATTTTGACAAAGGGTTCAAGGTAATTCACTGGGAGAAAGAAGAGTCTTTCAACAAATGGTGCTGGGACAAGATACCCATGTGCAGAAGAATAAATCTGTACTCATATCTCACACCATACACAAAAGTTATGTAAAGTAGACCAGAGGCTGAAACATAAGACCTAGATTATAAAACTCTTTGATGAAATACAAAAGGAGTAAAGTTCATCACCTTAGATTAGGCAATGATTCTTAAACATGAAACCAAAGACGATATAAGAGACTGATATGTTGGACTTCATAAAAACTAAAAACTTTTGTGCTTCAAAGAAGACAATCAAAAAGTGACAAGAAAACCCACAGAATGAGAGAAAATATTTGCAAATGATATATCTGATTAGGTTGTATATCCAGAATATATAGATAACTTTTACAATCCAATAATAAAAAGACATCCAAATGTAAAAATAGGCAAAATATTTTTTAAAGATATTTCTCCAAAGAAGATATATAAACATTCAAAAAGTATATGAAAATATACCCAATATCATTAGTGATTAGAGAAATGTAAATTAAAATGACAATGAGATACTAATGAATAGGATGGC